TATATATATTGAATGTCAGGGCATAGTACAACATGCTTCGTACCACAGTACTCAGAAGGCAGGTCTCCACAGATTCAAGGTCAGCCTGGTCTATGCAGTGAGACTCTGTTCCCAACCACCCCACAGAGAGAGAGAAAAAAAAAAAAACATGCAAGCCAGGCTTGGTGGCACATGCCTATAATTCAGCACTTGGAAGGAAGAAGCAGTAAGATCAAAAGTTCAATGTCATCCTCAGCTACTTAGGGAGTTTGAGGATAGTCTAGGCTATATAAGACTCTATCAGACAAAATAAAAGTGATAAAAATAAAAATTATATTTTAAAAGCTATTAACTGTGCCTAAATTAGTCTACAAATGCAATCTCAATATGGCAAGAGCCAGTTTTTAGAAATTAGTTCTAAAATTCACATAAAAAATAAGAGAGCTGGAGAAGTAACTCAATGGTAGAGCATTTGTTCAGCACGTACAAGGAAGGACCTGTGATCAAGGCCCAATACTCCTCCAAAAATACAAGTAAAAAAGGAAGGAAGGAAGGAAGGAAGGAAATACCAAGAAAATTATAAAAAAAGGACAAAAGAGAGCTAAATTTCCAAATGTCAAAGCCACATAATTATTATAACAATGTGTACTGGTATATGAATAGATAGACTAATGACTCAAAATGAAGTCCAGAAGGAGATCAAATCACACTGTATAGGAAAATATAACACAAAGATGGTGACAATTTTAATCAGTGGGGAAAATATCAAATAGATAATAAATTTTGGACCAAGCTTGGTGATACAGACCTGTAATCCCAGCTACTTGGAGACTGAGATTAAGAGGATTCAAAGTTCAAGGTCTCCTTAGGCTACATTGTGAGTTCAGTGGCAAGGCACTTGCTTAGCATGAGAGGCCCTAGTCCAGTTTCCAATACTGTAACAAATACACACACAAGTGTTAGTGGTACAGCAGAGTAGCCATCTAGAAAAGTGAATGTAATACTATTTAATGTAAAATAATAAAGACTACAAGATTTAAAAAGAAAAGAGGGCGCAATGGAGGGGGCTCAGTTAGCAAACTGCTTGCCACAAGCGTGAAGACCTGAGCTTGATGCCCACGGGAAAAGGCCTCTACTTCCAACACCAAGGAGGCAGAGGCAGGGAGATCTCTGTGAGTTCAAGGACAGCCAGGGTTACATAGAGAGACCTTGTCTCAAGAAACCAAAATATAAAGAGATGGGTGTGGTGGTGCATGTCATTAGTCCAAGCTCTCAGGGAGACAAAGGCAGGCAAATCACTAATCCAGTCAGCCTGATCTACAGAGGAAATTCCAGGACAGCTGAGGTTATACTAAGAAACCTCTCGGAAATAGATAGATAGATAGATAGATAGATAGATAGATAGATAGATAGATAGATAGATAAATAGATAGATAGGTCTCTATGAGATCCAGACCATCCAAAACTACCCAGTGAGACCCTGTCTTAAAAACAAACAAAAAATAAAATGGGGAGTTATTGAGGACTATATTCAACCTCTGGTCTATGTATTAGCCACATATGGGGAGGGAAGGCGGGGAGAGGAAGAGGAAGAAAAGGAAGAGGAAGGAGGAGGAAGAGGAAGGAGAGGAGGAGGAAGAGGAAGAAGAAGAAAGGTTTATTTGGGCTCATGGATGGTTTAGGCTCAAGCGGCTTTCTTTCTAGCAGAGTCCTAAAGCAAGGTGTCACAGGACCCGAGGTACACTCTCTGCTCCGTCTCTGATGGGACCAAGAGTAGGGGACCCTACACCGAAGACATATCTAACCTTGATCACCTCCAATGCCACACCTCCAAACACCACAGATGAAATAACACTTTACACTGGATTTGATTAAACTGTATCATGCATTTTGGAAGGTACAAACCATATTTAAACCAAAGTGCATATGAATGTAATTTAAAAAAAAAAAAAAAGCTTTCGGCTAGAGAGATGACTCAGCAGTTAAGAGCACTTGCTATTCTTCCAGAGGACTCAGATTTGATTCCCAGCACCCATATGGTAGCTCACAATTGTCTGTAATTCCAGTCCCAGGGGATCTAATATCCTCTTCTGGCTTCCCTGAACACCAGGCATGAATTTGGTGCACAGACACATGAAAGCAAAATATCCATACACATAAAATTAAGTTTTATTAAAATTAGATGCTCAATGAAAGACAAAAATAGTGTATGTTAAAATATGAGATGATCAGATACGGTAGTGCACTCCAGTAACCACAGCACTTAGGAAATAGATTTGAATCAATGTAAGTTCAAAGCTAGCCCTGTCTATACAGTAAGTTTGAGGCTAGCCAGAACACTCATGCTTGCACACTTATATACACATACACATACACCCCATTGGGAGGGGAGAGTATAGGTAGTTCAGTGGCAGAATATTTGCCTAGCATGTACAAGGCCCTGGATTCCATTGCCAATATTTTAACAATAAAAAAACAAAACAAGTAGACGTTATATGAATGAGGTCTCTCAAAATAGTTTAAATCATATCTGGTAGTTCACAGTTTACGTAATCTCAGCACTCAGAAGGTTGAGGTAGGAGAAACAGTGAAAGTGTAGTGGTACACACCTGTAATCCCAACACTCAGAAGTGGGGGCAGGCGGATCTCTGTGAGTTCAAGGCCAGCCTGGGTTATATGGAGAGACCCATCTTCAAAGAGCAGTAACAACCAAACAAAACACCATCAACAGCTATTAACTCTGCAGTGATTCTGACTGTCAGGAAACTCTATGAAATAAGCTGAGCCATCACCACTCACCTTGAACACTTCAGAGAAGAACCCAGATCCTATTTTTTCACGGGTGAAGTCATCTAAACTCGTCAGTCTGGAAAAGGCACTAATAATTGCACGATACGAAGATGACGAAACTCTTCCCACTTGGATAGTGTTCCCATCCCCTCCACCACCTCCTTCAAATTCTTCCAGACGCTCCACACGTGGGGGAAATCCTGCAATTGAGTTCCGCTTGCTCCGATCCATAATTTCAATAATGACCTCTTCTTTTAAGAAGGAATTCCACTCATAGTTTTTTGTTCGGTTTTACTTCTTTTCCAGTGTGACACTACAGAAAAATACAAAACACATTTTACTAAAATCATTAATGACTACATAAAAACCAACGAACTCTCAATGCAAAAATATTTATTTCCTTTTGCATTCTACTTCTGATTTCCAGATCTAAATTCTTCTGTCTTCTCTTTCAAAACAACACCGACATACACAAAGGCAAGCTGTATATAAAGATCATAGATTAACATTCTTTAAAAAAAATTTTTTAAGCCAAGCTTTGGTGGCACACACCTCTAATTCCAGCACTCAGAGGCAGGTGGATCTCTGAATTTGAGGCCAACCTGGTCTACAGAGCAAGTTCCAGGACAGCTGGGGCCACACACAGAAACCCTGTCAACAAAAGAAACAAACAAACATTTTTTTAAGACTTATCTATTTCATTCCATGTGGTGTGTGTGTGTGATATGCTTGCCTGGTACCCACGGTGGTCAGAAGAGGGCTTCAGATCGCCTGGAACTACACTTACAGTGGTTGTTGTCCTGGTTAAGTTGTTGTTTTGTTGTATGGGTTTTTTTCTGTTTTGTTTTGTTTTGTGGGGGTTTTGTTGTTTTGGTTTGGTTTTGTTTTCTGATACAGGGTTTCTCTGTGTAATAATTCTGGCTGTCCTGGAACTCACAGATATCTGCCTGCCTCCTGAGTGTTGGGACTAAAGGTGTGCACCACCACCAGCTTGTCCTAGCTAGTTTTATATCAACTTGATATATGCTGGAGTCACGTGGAAAAAGGGACTCTCAACTGAGAAAATGCCTCCATAAAATGTACCTGTTGGCAAGTCTGTAAGGTATTTTCTTAATGACTGACTATGTGGGAGGACCCAGCCCATTGTGGATGATGCCATCCCTGGGCAAGTAGTCCTGGGTTCTATAAAAATGCAGACTGAAAACTATGGAGAGCAAGCCAGTAAGCAGTACCCCTCAATGGCCTCTGTATCAGCTCCTGCCTCCAGGTTCCTGCCTGTTTGAGTTCCTGTCCTGACTTCCCTCAGTTATAGACTGTCACATAGAACTGTAAACTGAAACAAACCCTTTCCTGCTCAAGTTGCTTTTGGTCAGTGTTTTATCACAGCAATAGACACCTAAGACAGCTATGAACCACCCTTGGAGTACTGGGAACCAAACCCAGGTCATGTGCAAGAACAGCACATGCTCTTAACCACTGAGCCATCTCTCCAGCCCTACAGACTACATTCTAATAACAAAACAGCAATCCATCGTTCATTAGCCACCCATCCCTTTTACAGAAAAAAAAAAACAAACTGGAAAAGCGTGATCTGGGGCTTTAGCTCAGCAGCAGGGATAACACTTAGTCTGAGAGCTTTATCTACTGCATGCCATTTGATTCTCAAATCATTCATGATAAGGATTATGTTCATTTCACAGAGAGCAGGTAACCATACTGTCACTAAGTGACAGAGAAAACTAAAATGCAAGATTGGTTCAAAAGCCTGTGATCCTGCCAATGTCCCTTATGGCCACACATAATGTTATTAATTTGAAAAATTATTAGATTCAAAGATATAAAACAAAGGTAATGTTGGGCATGAAGACTTCTTTCATTTCCAGGCCAGCAGGGGCTACACAGTAAAACTCCGTCTCTAATACACACACACACACACACACACACACACACACACACACACACACACACACACACACTATAAATGATCAGGCTGCAGTGCAGCTCAGTGGTAGAGTGCTTTCCTAGCTAATGTGAAGCCCTGAGTTCAAACCTCAGCATCATCAAAGAAACAGTAAAAAGTGCTTCATAAATTGACCTAAAAATTCACTGCCAATTAAACAATGTCCAGTAAAAATGACTATTCAAGATTTCAGAGAGGCTGGAGAAATGGTTCCATGGTTAAAAGTACTTGTTATTTTATTCTATTTATTTATTTATTTGGTTTTTTTTTTTTTCAAGACAGGGTTTCTTTGTGTAGTTTTGGTGCCTGTCCTGGAATTCCCTCTGTAGACCAGTCTGGACTTGAAATCACAGAGATCCGCCTGTCTCTGCCTCCCGAGTGCTGGGATTAAAGGTATGTGCCACCACTGATCTTGTTATTCTTGCAGAGGACACAAGTTCAGTCCCCAGAACACACATGTACTACACGAGCATGGTCACATACATGCAGGCAATTAACACTTCTTTTTAAATCTTAAAAATAAAGACTGCAGCACTCAGGGAGCAGAGTGAGTTCTAGGACAGCCAAGGCTACCCAGAAGAACTCTGTCAGGGATATGACACAAGATCACTTTTTCTAAGAACTTATTGTAAAGGTTCTATACAAAACAAAAACATTTTTTTTTAATGTATGGAGTTGGGTAGGGGTTTTGTCCTTTTTTTTTCCTTTCCACTTGCAACATGCAACACTTGTGAGATGCTTTCACAAGCATGATGAACCCAGTCTCCTCCACCTCCACCCATGGAGAATCCTAGCAGTGTTCAAAGAACCACCCTACACCACAACACTGCGTCTTACCACAATCAAAAGTCAGAACTTTACCCAATATGCTAATCATGGTTGCTTTCCCAGGGATATAGAATTGGATTAAGACATTCCATCCTCCATATTAGTCCTTTCTATAATAAAATTTGTGTAAACTCGGAACTGCTGACTGAAGCCATTTTTTACACTCACATTGGAAGGCAGGAGGAAAAAAAGCCACAAGAAGACTGAAGCAACTTGGTGGGGAGGGGAGGAGAGAGACTGACTTGATTTCTCTACTGTGCTGTACTCTCCAATTCCTGAGGCCTAACTGTATTCTGGAGGTTTTATAAAATACCCTGTTTACTTCAACATAAAATTACTGTCCTGGCAGTGGTGATGCACGCCTTTAATCCCAGTACTTGGGAGGCAGAGGCAAGGAGGATCTCTGGGTTTGAGGCCAGCCTGGACTAGAGAGCAAATTCCAGGACAGCCAGGGCTACAGAGAGAAACCCTGTCTCAAAAAAAAAATTTTTTTTTGCTTATGTTAATTCTATCAGAGTCTCCAGAGAAAAAAATAATCCAAATTCCCAAAGAATAAAAATATCTAAGTGCCTTTATTGAATATCTCCTAAGAAGTGGTATCAGGGGGCTGGAGAGATGGGCTCAGCAGTTAAGAGCACTACCTGCTCTTCCAGAGGACCCAGGTTCGATTCTCAGGACCCACATGGCAGTTTACAAATGTCTGTAACTCCTGTTTCACGGGATTGGACTCCCTCACACAGACATACATGTAAGGAAAACACTAATGTACATAAAATAAAATTTTTTTAAAATGTGGCATCAAAATCCTGTCTTGAAAAAAGAAAAAAAAAAATCACCATACCAAAAATTTAAGGTTGCAAGAACAAAATGTTAAATTTTACAACCAGAAGGGCTCACCAAGTCCAGTTATCTACTTTAAATCTGGAGAAACATACAGACAAGAAAGTGAAAATACAAGAAGTAAACAATTGAGGCCAGCAGTGGTGGCCCACTCAGGAGGCAGAGGCAGGAGGATCTCTGTGAGTTTGAGTACAGCCTGGTCCACAGAGCAAGTTTCAGGACAGAACTACATAGTAAGACACTGTCTCAAAAAAAAAAAAAAAAAAAAACCAAATAAATAAATGGTTTTGGTTTCTTATTTTGTATTCTTCAATGTTTATTTTTTGGTTTTGTATAAGCTATTTTGTTTTACACATTTTTATTTACTAGAGGTGGAAGCAGACACTTCTGTGCCACAGTATGCATGTGGAGGTCAGAAGACAATTTGTGGAGTCAATCCTCTCATTCTTCTATGTAGGTCCCAGAAATCAAACTCAGGTTGCTGGGTTTGACCACAAGCACCTTTACGGCTAAGCCTCCTCACCAGCCCAGTATAAGCTATTTATTAACAAAGTGTGACATGGGACCCATGAACTGAGGGAGTGTATTTTCCAAGGCTATTTCTGTCATTTGAATAAAAATCAACTAGGGAGCCAGAGACGAGAACAAAGCCTGTTATCTCGGGGTTCGAGACAGGTAGACAGTCACAATTTCAAGGTCAGCCTGATCTACATAGGGAATTAAGGCCGTCCAGGAACACATCCCTCTCAAAAACAAAGAATCATGTGAGGAGCTGGGCATGGAGGTATACATATGTAAACCCAGCACTTGGGATGTTAAGCAGAGGCCAGCCTAAGCTACACAGAGAGACCCTGCCTCAAAAACAAAACAAAAACAAAAAACCCAAAAATTACCAGAGGAGGTATTTAAAACCCACAGTTCTGATCTTCTACTTGACCCACTATATCAGAATCTCCTGGGACAAGGCCTGGAGATTTAACTAGGCTCCACGGGGATATTTATTCTAAAAGCTGGCAGTCCTCAACTGGAGGAAAAATGGAACTGTTTTGTTTCAAGATCTTTGATTTTATATGTACGAGTGTTTTGCTTGGATGTATGTCTGTGCACTACTTTGCATGCCTGGTGTCTGTGAAGGCCAGAACAGGGCTTTGAATCCTCTGGAACTGGAGTTAAAGATGGCTGTAAGTTGGCATGTGGGTGCTGGGAATTGAACCTGGGTCCTCTGTGAGAATAAGTACACTTAACTGTTGAATCATCAGAGAGGAAACTGAAGTGGCTTTTTTTTTGGGGGGGGGGGGTGTTTTGTTTTGTTTTGTTTGAGACAGAGTTTCTCTGTGTTGTTTTGGTGCCTGTCCAGGATGGCCTTGAACTCACAGAAATCCGCCTGGCTCTCCCTCCTGAGTGCTAGGATTAAAGTCATGGGCCACCACTGCCTGGCAAAACAGCTTTTAAGCAGTAGAAGTTTTACTATTATTTTCTTACTTAAGCTCCAAAACATGCCTCCAAAGTAGATGTTACCTCTAGTTTACAGAAAAGGAAAAGTAGGCTAAGGAAGCTGGAAAATCTGTCTAAGCATACACAGGTAGTAGAACCAGAACTGGAGCTGGGCTCCAACTTGCACCAAAGCTCAAGATTTTCTATTTCATTATTAATTGTTCAGTGTTTATCCACTATGAGATCTGTAA